TTAATAGCCCGATTCACATTGTGCTGGAGATAATCTCTTTTTATGTAATTAGAATTGTCACCACAACACGGCTATCGCTACCCCTTTTAGTATTGGGCTTATTTATTATTTATTATGTGGACTACTTACGTCATTAGGTACACCTGCCCAGTATCGCGGGGATTTAACTAAGCTTATTTACAACCTGGTAATTGAGTTCGGAACGAAGGTTGCTCATGCAAAACAGAGAAAATGCTACCCCCCTCTCTCCCCCCCTCTCTCCCCCCCCCCCTTCTTTGTGGTCATGATTTTATTAAGGTGTACGTTAAAAAATTTTTACCGGGGCCATTTTTTCCTACATTCTTTTAATAATGATGTTAATATTATATGATGTGGCCATGCTTATTATCGTGAATAGATTGATTGTTATGGTGTCTCGAACTCATACCGTACTGTTTATTTCAAAGGCTCTGTCCAGATTATCAAATTTTCAAAAAACTGTTGTATGCCCATATATAGTCATGATGTGCCTATATATGACCATGATGTGATGTCATCATGACCGTATTTAGGCATGTCACATGTTTTTGTCCAATAAAATTGTATTGTATGGACGGGACTTCAATATTTCATTTTTGTGATGCTGTATCAGCAATAGCTATTGACTGCCTGAGCAATGTGGTCATTGTATGTGCGGCGCTGAACCATAATAACCACGAGTCTTTGGCTTAATTTCAGGGCTATGTTCTCACACGGCTGCTAACGGTTAGCAGGATCCGGATTCTGCTAACCGTTAGCTGCCGTGCGTCCATACCAGAAAATCCCGATCCGGATACCAAAAATATGATGATCGAATCACTGGCCATTAAGAAAATGGAAATTGTAAACGCGTACGTGTGATTGGTTGATAATAAAATCGCGCTTAACTTGCTAACCGATAGCGCTTGCTAACCGTTAGCGGTATCTGGATACTGCTAACGGTTAGCCTAACCGATCGGGCGTTCTCACGCAGGGGCTAACGGTTAGCGCTAATGGTTAGCTCCCGATCAGGATACTAGGGCTCTCGTGAAAACCAGGCTAGAGTGTTCGTTCAGATGGACATATGCCGAGGACAGAGCGTGGCTTTCACTGTGTCAATTAATAATTAATGGCAGTAAATTATACGGTAGTGTTTGGGGGAAATATCTCATTTAAAGCATTATTTCTAATATGAACCGTTTAACTCGGAGACATTAATTTTCAATGCACGACCCTGCTCCACAGCACGACGTCACCATCAATACCCACAAAGTACTACTAGCCATTTATAATACTGGAAATTTAAAATGCAAAAAACTATACTATACCTTGGTATCGTTATGGAACATGCACAATAAAAATCCTTGGTTAACGCTCTCCTCATTCACAAGATCCAGAGCGTATCTTGCAGCTTCTAACTCCGAGAGCCCTCGTACCGATTGAAACGTGTCACCAGTTAGAGGAAACAGCCCTCCGATGTATATCTTCTTTATGTTATCTGTATTCTTATCTTGCAGTCCGCAGTATGTATTATCCAAGTGCTTATAATCACTAATAGCATTAATAGGTAAAATTTCATCAGCTAGGAGCATACAAAGGCACCAGTAGCCAACATACAGCGTTATCCATTGTATACCTTTCATTATTGATATTAAGCCTGCAAACATGTGTTCCCTGCCATCACACTTTTAAACATGTATATTTCCATGCGTATCGACTTCCAAAAAAGGCTTAACATCATAATAAATCGTTCACTGTTCCCAAATCGTCCTGGATCCGTGTTAGAAAGGCTAATACATTCTGACGGAGATGCCTCAACAATCGCCACTAATGTGCTCTGTCACTCTATTGAATGTTCATGTTGAAATGTTAACATTTATTAAATCGAATCGTGGTGGTTATCTCGTAATTTGCTTGTTGATTGTAAGATAAAAGATGAATATTTCAAACAATGTATTGTAAAATACTCAGCATTGTTCTTGCCATTTACCTCCTTTTCTATTGAATGAACCTACTTTCAGAATCAGATGTGAAGGAGTTAAAATCGACCTCTGCAAAATCGTCACACATGCAATTTTGTAAATCTTGCCGGCTTCGTCATTCCCTCCAAATTCATCTGTAAGGTAAGCACACAGTGAAAAAAATAATAAATCACTGCAACGTGATTCGTTCAGATTTATCTCGATTCAATTCGATAAAATGAACTGGGGATTCTATGAAGCGCGTACTTATTAATCATTCTCCAAACGCTCTTTGCTAAAACTACTATACGGTTGTCTTTATTTGTCTCTTGTTTATCGTTACATCTATCATTTAAGATAAGAGTGTGTATTTAGCTAATAAAAGATGGAAAATATAATCTACCATTCGGATTGCTCACTTTGTATAATTAAGTACCATAGGCTTATTTATTCGAATAAACTCCCCCTCGAATACACTCCCCCTTCTGAGCCTCATTTTGGGATTAACGCCTCCTTCGAATATAAACGCCCCGAAGATTTCAATTTTTACTCGAATAAACGCCCCTCTAAATGACCGTAGAAAAATCTAATGGAAGCAAGATAATTCTCAACACATTTTATTAATGTTCTACTCCACTGTAGAATTACATGTTTTCTAACCTGGTCGGGGTCAAGAAAATCTTGATCACGCAGTAACACATTTTGATGGTAGTTATGTCGTAGTTCCACATTTACAGTGATATTAAAGGCGTTTATTTTGATGGATGATTATATGAGCGGCACTAACTCGTAAAATAAGCTGTTGAGGTGATTTTTAACTACCGTGATTTTTGGAGAGTTGGGCGTGTGGGGGTGGGGGTGAGCTGGCGAGTATATTCTTTGCATAAATGAATGGGCTGGAGATCAATTTGCCTATAGGTTGGCCTATCTAAGGGTGCAGTTACGCTTAGAATATCAAATCAATCAAAATTGCCTATTTTTCCGTTTGTATACATTTTAAACATGTACGGTATAAGAAACATTTAGTTGAAAATATGATAATTTTAAATTTATCAGATATTTAGTATTCCATCACCAACTGTTTAAATAGTACTTTAGTTAAATAATTGTACTCTAACGGGGATCGTGGAAGCAAATACATTTGCCTTAAACAGAAATTACATATCATTTTATCCTAATTTACCTTACAGTATAGTATAGCCAATGATCTATACAAATAATAGGAATGTTTTCAATTATGTGTGTGTGAGGTAACTGAAAAACCCCACTATTTTTCAATATTAAATTGAAATTGATTAACTTGCGTAAATATACGAAGTAAGTAATTTAAGTATTGACTTTCATTTTCCAAGTTATTAGTTCACGCATTTTAACCTAAAATAAACGAGACACAGCCTAGACATAAATCTTAAAAATATGACTGTGATCGTTAGACTGTTAATTTGTATTCAAATATTTACAAACCCAATACATATTCTTATTCAGGCGAGACGTATGTCCGCCAAGATACGTGTCTCAAAAGATGTGGCGTTTAAATATCTCTCAAAGATTTTAAATGTCTTAGGCCTATATAAAGTACGGTACTTCAATACAATAATAAAATATAAGAAGCCAGTAGTGTTGGACAGCTGGTTCTATTTTAAAACTTTCGTTTAAGCTTTAAATACAAAATTTGTATTTAATTTGTAATAGGCTACGGCCCATGCTTGAGAAAGAAACAAAATAAATAAATAAATAACGATAGTGGAAAAATAATGATTCCTATCAGTATGC